GAACACTGTCTCTTAGCAATGAATGTATGCTTTTCTGCCAAAGCCCTTAGGTGTAGTCTAGGAGTAGTTTTCCTGAGGTGCCTGGTTCAGAGCCCAAGGACTTCCGTTCTCCTGTGTACTCAACTGCCGCTCCTGTCAATAAAGGTGCATAGAATCAGAGGATGTAATTTTTGTGGTTTCATAGCATCAGCTGTACTGCCTCAGGAACGCAGTAGCGTGAGCCAAATAATTGCAAAGAAGGAGGTGTGATGCATGCACAGATAGGGAGATCCTTGCTGACCTGAAGGATAATGCGTGCTGCCTTCTCTTGGACACAAATCTTATCTTACGTGCTAAAAGGATGCAGTCTGAGACCCATTACAATGAACTACGCTATTTGGCCTTGCCTTTTTTTACAGAGATTAGTGCTTCAGGTCAACTTTATTCTGACTAGATGATCTTTAAGGTCCCTTCCAACCCAAACCATTCTATGATTCTATTCATAAAGGCTAACTTCAGGCTGTGTAGTGAAACTTAATCTTCCTGGGATTCATCTGGCCTAGGGGAGACATAGGCTTCTCTAGAGGGCGACTGAAAAGCAGAGCCTAAGTTATCACCTCTCACTTGCCTTCTCTCTTTTACTCATCGAAGGTGATTATGAAGATCAGACTCAGAAGGCTCAAATGCGCCCTTACAAATATCCCCTCTATAATCGCTTCCTGGAATTTTCTTTAATCACCACTAAAATGTATTAGTGATAGCTTGTGTGTAATGTCGATTGTGTAGTTTGAATGCATAATCTGAGGATAGTTTAGGAAACGAATCAGAGAAAGGAAACAAAACCCATGCAATTACATTTCTGAAGTGTGATTATTTCTAAGCTCCTTCTCTGGGAGCGCATACATACACATGCACAGACATGCAAAACCCTGGATTCTTTTTGTTTTCTGAGAGTAAGGATATCTGTTTTTTAAGATGCACTTGATTAATACTTGCAGTCCTTCTGGGGATTTAGGAGAGCGAAAAAGAAGGAAAGCAAAATTGTCATGTAGTCATGACACTCCCACGAGCTGGATTTTTCTTGTGAAAGTTCAAACATTGTGAAATTCACAATGAACAGGTTGCTTCTCTGGAGCGCAGGAATTACAATTCCATGAGGATTTTGAAATAAGGGCTAATCTTGCTCTGTCTGCATTAGTCAAAACATAGCTGAGCACAATTCAGTTTCTTTTTAGTCCTACTTGTATTAAACTAGACAAAGAGCTACCACGGTGCTGTTGCTAAGCTTGTCATCCTTTTTCATATCTTTCACTCTTTTTGCTCTGCTGTATAAACAGCCCAGAGTTCTGTCCTCTGATACTTTTGAAGCTTTTCTTATCTTGGCTTGTCTCTTGACAGTTTTTGAGGTCAGCAGTTTCTTCTTGAGGTTGAGGAAGTCCTAAGCAGGCCTCTGTAATTCATGTGCGTGGACATAACTGATAGGTGTGAAGCCACCGTCTTCTCTTCAGGCGTTCGAGCATCCTGTTGGCCTTTTTGATGGACGCTGTTACAGCAATGACGTATTACATGCATTGATTCCGATGTATATTTTTTTGGCAGAGGAAATAACAGGTATATAATTTCTCGGTTCAGCCATATATAATTATATATAATTTGGCTTAAATAGGTCTAGAGTTTCCAGTGCTCCAGTCTCTCGATTTGAGGCACTATGTTGCTCTTACATGCTATTTCTGGAAAGAATCCGAAAATAATACTTCAAAAGTTAATAAAGAGCTTGGGATAGGATGTAGAAGATGCCAGATAATTTACTGCACATCTCCCAAATGCTTTTGGGTAGAAAAAGAATTCCTGTGTTTTCCCCAAAGCTGCCTTTCTTTCCTTTTCTTGATACAGATGTTCATATGGGGGTTGGGTGGGGAAAGTTAGTCAGATGAGAATTTGCTAAAGCTCAGCTAATCATTTATTAAAGCAGTCCCTGGCTTGCCAAACTCATTAATCTCATTAACAGGGAAGGAGGGCTATGGTGCGTGGTTAGCTGAAAGCACTGTGTTTACTAGGCAGTGTACTTCGTTCACAAGGGAAAGATTTGAATATTCACTGTGTCACTGTTTTATTCCTGAAGCTGAAGTAATGTGGTGAGTCACTTGACCAGCCTGTGTCACATGCTGGCTTTGGCCACAGACTACATGGGGTCAGGAACAGAGTTGTCACATACAAGTCTGACCTGGACCCATTCATTTTTCAAGGTGCTCGTCATGTCTCTTGCACTCAGATGCAACGTGGGAAGCTTAGGTCTCTGGAGAGGAGAGAATAAGACAACGTCACCACTTGGATCACCTTAAGAAGCAAGTGGTGATGTTCTCTTGGTGCCGCAGGGCCCCTCTTGTCCTAGGAACAGGAGGCCTGGCAGAAACATCCCAGCTGCCACTTTCAGAGTTACTTCTCTGCCTATGCCTCGGGAAGGTGGAGGAGCTGCCTCATGGCCTGCTTCTCCTGTGGCAGGAGATCTCAGGTGTCTCAGACTAGGTCAAAATAATCTCAAAGGGCTGGAACCAGGTTAATCATAGAATCACAGAATGGTTTTGAGTTGGAAGAGACCTCAAAGATCATCTAGTTCCAACCCCTCTGCCATGGGGGTTGGAATCTCAGCTGTGTTTCGTGGTACTCTGGAGAACACCCACACTTCAGTGTTTGGATTTGGGTCCAGGCACTTCTGGCAAAACCAATGACATCTGCTATGCAACTGCCACCTGGCACAAGTGCGATATGCGTAATGTCCTGCATTCGTTATGTGTGTAATATAGCATTCCTGTGCAAAAGCCATAGCACAGCACTCTTGTGTGCTGCAAACCTTCACATGGCAGTCCCCAGGGTAAGCTCCTGCCTAGATCAGTAACTATTTGTTAGCTAATATCAGTGACTATCTTGCCTGTCTGAAATATGCTTTCCCCTAGGTTCTGTCCATATTGTGGTTTTATCCCCTGACTGGTATTTATAGACTTGATTTATAAACTAGATTTATAGTTTTAACATTGATAACTTGTTGAAATGAATAGTCAATGTAAGTCTAGCCTCTTCACTTTCCTTTGGTTCTGACTGCTGAGCATGAGATCTCTGCTTGCTTTTGCTTTTCAGGTCTGCAGCTGTCTCTAACTTGACCTCGTCCCTTCATGCCTGCTGTTGTCATACTATTGCTGCATTTATTGCTCTCTGTCTGCTTTAAGCTCCAGTGCTTTAGTCTGTGCCTTTTTTTCCCCCATCCAAAAGATATCTCCTGTCATTTCACTTTCTTTTGCCAGCCTCCATCTCCTTTTCATCTCTAGTTTCTCGAGGGGGTGGTTTATTTTTGCTGGCTCCATTTCCTCTCCCCTCTGCATCATTTCTTAATCTCCTGCAACCTAGTAGTATAGTGGAGGGTGGCCCTGCCCATGGCAGGGGGGTTGGAACTAGATGATCTTTGAGGTCCCTTCCAACTCAAACCATTCTGTGATTCTATGATTAACCTGGTTCCAGCCCTTTGAGATTATTTTGACCTAGTCTGAGACACCTTCTTCAGCTTCTTCCTTGTTCTGTGATTGTCATCCTGCTTATCCTTCTGCTTCCTACACTTACCCTGGTACTTAGTCTCTGTTTAATTCTTTCTTGGCATCTGCCCTTCTCTCTTAACTGCCTCCCAACATCAGGAAGCCTTTCTTTGTCCTCAGTCTTTCGTCTCCCCTAAGTCCATCAGTCTCTGCTGATGTTATGTAAACAACCTCTTCTGCTTTACTCTCTTGAATGTTTCCTTGTGTCTTGTCCTCTTTTTCACTGTGCACTGCTCTGGGCCTTGGGGTGTATGGTAACTGGGTGCAGGGAGCTGCTGTCATCGACATTTCCTGCACTGAAACCGGCTTCCCTTTTCCCATACGAACCGCCACCGTCGGGCCCTGCAGTCCCTCAGCTGCAGAGTGTCCCTGGTTACAAAAATCCTCTTTCGTAGATAACCCTCACCTTGCTTCTGGGCTGTTTCTGTACCTCCATAGGCTGGCACAGCCCCGCTTGCGAAAGTGTCAGCGTGTGTTTCCAGAGTTGTGCAAGTGCTCTCAGTCATTGCTGCCTGCAGTGCAAGAAGGAGGGAAGCATTGAAGGGCATGTGTGGGAGGTTTTGGCCATTCCCCTGCAAGTAGATGGAGTACCTCACTCTCCCGAGGGCACTCTGCCGGCATTGCTCACCGACTCCCAGCTTCTCCCTAAGCTATGCAAGGATGTGGCAGCAGTCCCATGCGTCTTCTCTGAGTCCTTAATGCATTGACTCCAGGCTGCAGCTCTCTTGTCAGCTGCTAGATAAACATTACTTATTGAGATCCATCTCCTCCCTGGGAATGTGAAAAACTTGAGTGTTGGGGCCATTTTTCTCTGCACCTCCCACATGGAGCAATTTCAGTGCTACATGCCAGCCCTGGCAGGAGCTGTGCAATTTGGATCTGCTCCTTCATGCGTCTCTAGAGTTTGGCAGAGCAAGCAGCACTAACTGGGCACAAGTGCACAACGGACTGGGCCAGGCACTATGTGCTGCCTGACTTTGAAAGAGGAGGTGTGATGCCACCGAAATTGGGAGGGAGGTGATTTATGCTACATTGGGATTGTTATGAACTCAGGATCTGGCCTCTTGGCTGACCTGCTTTAGAAGTGGAGTGTGGACATCCCTAAAATATCTCTTCCTTATCTGTGAACCTGCCACAGAAGCCGTGAATTGTCACGCCACTGTGTTAGGATCTCTACAGAGAGTAAGGATACTACATTTGAGCCTTCAGCCCCATCATGCTGTATTTTTCCTTGTGGCTGTAGGCTATGAAAAAAGCAAACTCACTTCTGCTGCCAATATCTCTGTTTACATACATAGAGGAGTATTGCACCCTGGCACCTGAAACAGATGGACGTTTTAATTTTATGTACTTGAGGAGAATGATGCTATGATAAAATGCAGTAGCTCCCTCTTAAGCAATGCCAAGGCATATGACACTCATGTTTTTGTCTTTTAGCTGAGGTGGAAGGGTTGCAGGTCACTGTGCCTGAGAAGAAGAAGGTGGCCATGTTGTTTCAGCCTGCTCTTCTTCGCTGCCATTTCTCTACTTCTTCCACCCAACCAGCTGTGGTACAGTGGAGGTTTAAATCTTACTGCCAGGACCGGATGGGAGAAGCTTTGGGTATGGCGACTTCTGGTTCACAAACGATGAGCAAGAGGAACCTGGACTGGGATCCCTACCTGGACTGTGTGGACAGCAGGAGGACAGTCCGTGTCGTGGCCTCCAAACAAGGATCTGCCGTCACTATAGGAGACTTCTACAAGGAAAGAGATGTCAGCATTGTCCACGGTAACTCTCCTACCCCACTGATGCCTGGTGGGGGTTGGAATGGACCCTTCGCAATTTGGGATACTGGAGGCTGGCAGTACTTGTTCGGTTAACTCTCTTAGAAAAGGCTGCTGCGAGGGACCTGTTGTATGTCCCATGTTTAGGATTCAACAAACCAACCCTAGACCCAAAGGCCAGTTCCTTTGGTGCTTCCCTTCATCTGACTCCATGTAGATGTCCAACCCTGATATGGTATTCTTTTCCCTTTGATGAAGTGGAAGGTTTCTATTCCTGGCTTCTGCATATTGCTCTGTATATAGATTTTCCTTAACAAAGGGATGCCAGCAAGAGAGGTATGAATTCAGTCTCTGTGGGCTAGGTTTTGCTTCCTTGCAAACTCCACTGATTTTTTCCCAGTTCCAAAATACCAGAATTATCCTATACCTCATGTATAACTCTGGACTTCACCCGCTTACTCTGTCATGAACTTAAACCCACACAGCCTTGGGCAATGTGAAAGGAAGGGATTTCCATGGGGTGAAGTCATGTTGGGTGGAGATGGGGAGTCACAGGGTCCTTTAATATTTGGTCTGGAAGGCTGTGTGAGAAACCGTGTCCCTCAAAAGTACAAGGCTTCTGCTTGACTTAGGAGACCACCTAGCCAGAATTGGAGGCTCCTTGGTGTGGAGAGCATATGATCAGCTTCAGCAAGGGGGAGTGTTTTCCTTTGTCTCTGTGTAAGCTCTTTGGCGGATGGCTGAAGTGCTGTAGAGGAGACGCTGTCTAATCCCTCCTTGCATGGCACGAATATTGTCGGGACCCCAGGCCTTAGGTGATAGGAAGGACAGAGTGTGACATTAGTTACGCCTTCTGCTCTCGGGACTTGCAGAGTGAGCTGCCTCTGTGGCATCACCTGTCTTCCCGCTTACAGCCACAGAGTCCTGAGCCTGTTAATTTTTTCCTGAATATTATGATATTATAGATAAGGCTAACCCCCCTTCTTAGTAAGGAAAGGAAAGGAAATAGATTTGGGACACGGAGTCAGACCCGCTGCTTTCATCACTTCACTCTTCCTATAGATGTTGGGGGTAAAGCCTGACTTTTCTTTTTGCCTTTCAGACGCAGACCTTCAGATTGGGAAGTTGATGTGGGGAGACAGTGGCCTCTATTACTGCCTTATTATCACACCGGATGATGTGGAGGGCAAGAATGAAGAAGCAGTGGAGCTGCTTGTGCTTGGTAAGCCCTCTTGCCAGATTGCTTTTTCAGCAGATAGCTGATGTATCTTTCCTTCTGCTCTCTCGCTCTCTCTACATACCTGTGCACCGTATTACTATGGGTGTAAGATCTGTGTAAAGCAGTCCCGGCAGTACCTTCACCATGGCCTTGCACCTTGTGCAGTCACTCACACCTAGGCAAAGTGGGTGGCAAATGCTACCAAACCAGAATAGTAATGTTTGCACCCACACTGCTCACACATTACACAGGCGTAAATGACTACAGAAAATGCAGGGCTATGGAAAGTCAGAACCCTTGTTTTTAAGGCATAAAACAATAAACTTGCAGCAAAGTGAACACTTGAGACAGAGTCTTTTAAAAATAGACACCCAGAAGACATCAAATCATATGCTCTTTGCAGTGTTTTAACATTCCCTTCATCCCACTCTTCTGACCTGTGGGGATGTCAAGAAGCACTGTGTTTTTCTGCTTGAGTGTTGAGTGTGTCAATTTGAGAGATTTTTCTGTCTGCCTAATTATACTTGTCCAGTTAGAGGTGCAGTTTCAGAATCACCCTAATGAGGTCTAAGCTGTTGCTGCTGCTAAAAGAACCTGTCCTCTCTGCAGAATGCACGCTTGGCTTTGTGTTTCTTTTAAGCTCCCTTGAGCAGTGTGGTGAGCAGGATCAGTTTCTTTCCTGTTTGCAGGGTTAGCCATCACTGATGGCTTCCACAGTCCAGCTCACTGTGAAGATCTAAAAAGCACCTATCCCAGCTAGGGAAGAAAAGCATAGTGGAATGAGCCTTTCAGGGGCGTTTGTTGACACTGCCTTGAGCCAGCGGTAGTACCTCACCCCTAGACTGCCCCAGGCGAGTAAGATGAGTTTTTTCCAACTTACTTTAAGACCTGCTGATGCCAATGTTTGTCTGGTCAGCATACTTGCATGGTTCTGGGTGTATAGATTATGTACATCCTGCGAAGTAGATGTTAAAGAGCTTGGGTCTGTAGTGATATGTAGAGGCATATGATAGAAGGTGTCTGTCAAGTGGCTCGGGTCAGAGTTTAACTGGCATTCATATTTGGAGCTGTAGTTGTCACCACAGAGTAACCCAGATTGAATGGCTTGAGTGAGTGACTCTTAACAGTGCCATCACCTCCCTTCACTCCTTCAGATGTCAGTTGAGCGATGGACAATGAGAGAATGGGTCCCTCCAGAAAACAGTGTCATACCCCTGTCTAAATCCACGGTGTGACTGTGTATCATACACTACTAGTTAATAACAGGCCCAAGACCAACCTGTGTTAGTTCAGGTGATGTTCTCTCTGCCAGGTGGCATTGGTAGCTGTTACGTAGCCTCTCCAGAGGAGCTGAGTGTGGCTGCATGGTGATGGGCTGCTGAATTTTGTCCCTTCTTCACCTTCCTGTCCAGGATTTGGTATCTTCTCTTATCTGTGTCTACAACTGTGCTCAGACACCAGTGATGAAACAGTACCATGGTAACAGGAAGAATCTGTTTTTCAGTGTGTACAGAAGACTATGTGGGGGGAAAACAAAGAAATCCCCACCTCTGAGGCCAGCTTGATGGTGTCCCCAGCCCCAGTTCGTTGTGGTTCTGCTGGGAGGAAACACATAGCTTAGGCTGCATTACCTTGACCTCATCTGCTTTTCTGTTCACTACAGCCTGTGGGTCCAACCTTGCACTTTGTGCAGCACTCTGCTAAGTTTGGCAGCAGCATGAAAGCATGCTTGTCGTGGGCATACTTTGTTCTGCCTCATGCTGTTTGGCGCAGCTTGTATGTATTTCTTTTCCTGGGTAATGTGTACGGAGGCAACGTTCCCACTATTGGAGCGATTCCAGGTTACCTACCCATTTTCCTTCCTTCCTTCCTTCCTTCCTTCCTTCCTTCCTTCCTTCCTTCCTTCCTTCCTTCCTTCCTTCCTTCCTTCCTTCCTTCCTTCCTTCCTTCCTTCCTTCCTTCCTTCCTTCCTTCCTTCCTTCCTTCCTTCCTTCCTTCCTTCCTTCCTTCCTTTTCCTATACCTCTCCCATTGATGGCTAAAGAAGGAAGCAGCCAGTGGTGAAAATACAATTTCTTAATATTGTGGCATCTTCTGGGACATTTTTTATTCCATCTCACTGCTCTGGTACGTATTAGTGACTTGCAGGGAGACAGTGAGTACAAATGTAGATCGGAGTGATTCCACAGTCCTAGGGGACATGTGGTAAAAGGGTTTTGTTTGCTGTTTTGCTGTTCGTTGCTTTTTGGGTGGAACCCAGATTCCCTGTTAGAGCCGCTGGAGCAGCAGAGGGATAGTGTCTGCAAGAGACACTGCGATTCCCACAGTATGTTGCTGTTTGCTCCCTGATGGCAGTGGCCTTTCAAATATAATTTACATTGCTTATTTTGGGGCTGCTGTATGATTTAAGCATAGATTAGAATACCGAATAGAGCAGAGGTTCTACCCACTCCTGTTACCAGTGGGGGAAGACACAAAAATCAGAACAGAAAAGGAAATAGGAAAATATCCCTTCTAGTAGTTTCATATTAATGCCAAGATGGAAGGTGTGTTTAGGTTAGAGAAAGGTACTGCTGGACAGGGCAGTTTAATATCACATAGAAATCTCGAAAGGTCTGAGAAGCAAAAATGGTAGATAGCTAATAGCATCAATAAATTAATGGAAATTTGCTTAGCTAAAAGTGGAGGATCTTGCTTTTATACAGTGAATTGCAGCATTAAAAATTGGTCAAAATCTGATTTATCACAACTTGGAGCAAAATCCAGAACCTGAGCAAATTACACCATTTCTTTTTTCTTATGGAAGCAATCAAGGAGACTTCCAGTCAGGCTGGGTCATGATGGGATTGCATGTTGAATTTTGTCCCCTGTATGTGTCAGTTGACACACAGAGAGGCTGGAGAACTCTAGGTAGCGTAGAATCCCATGTGCTGTCTTCGTTTCAGGCCTCTTTCAGAAAAGCATATAAGCATTTATTTATATGTGTTCGTGCTCAACAAAGTGGATAGGATTTATAAAGCATACTTGATGTTAAGCGTGTGCTTATGTGCTTTGCTGAAAAGACCATTCAGGAGGTTTTGCCTACTAGGGGACTTTAACCCTCTCTAGCGAAATCAGTGCAGGCAAGGGAAGAAGACTCGCAACCTTTGTGCCTCAGAAACACAGAAGGAGACTGGTTGGTGGTGAACCTCCTGTAGAGTAAGAAAAGAATTTAAATTAAAAAGTACTATTTTTGGTGGCATTTGGAATCTCCAAAGGGGGTCTAGCATGCTGGCAACTATATAAACTCTGCTTCTGCTGTAGCAGGACTAGACTAGTACAGAGCTTAGCAATTCCGCAACAGGAGTCAAGTGATGCTCTCTGCACTCATGTGTTTTACTAGAAACGTAGAACCTTTGCTGACTTTACAGCTGGGCTAGTGAATCCGGTTGCAACTTTGTACATTTTTAGTTTTTAGACCTAACGTGATCAAGTCGAAAAGGCTGAATCCTAAATTTAAAAAAGTCTGTGTTTCTAGCTTAGTAGCTAGCAGCTGAGTGTCCTGCTTCTTGAAACACAGACAGTACTATTAGTGAAATTGTTATTGGTAGCACCTGTGCGCTGCTTTTTATCTGAGAATGTCAGTGGGCTTCAGTAGAGTCATTTGTTGCAGCCTTTGTTGAAGGGAACAGCAAGTATACCAGTGCAGTGGATGCATGGTGCCTGGAGTAACCTTTGAGTCAGAAGTACAGGACAGTGTCAGTAGATACCCCACTGTACCTACTGACCAGGAGGGTCAGTAGATATCCTCCCGAAGCAGATACTTCAGGAGACCTGGCTCACATCAGGAAGCGGTCCAGCTTAATTGCGTGGGGTTGCGTATAACCCAGTAAGCCTTTATGAGAGCTGGAATTTACTAACGAGGTATAGGGTCCTGTGAAAGCAGCTGTACTGCTCCCTTCTGAAGCTAGAACAGCTATAGGGCAATGGCTGTAGGTATAGCTAGGCACTGCGGGCTACCCTGAAATGCGTAGGTCCGTGCAAGCTCGGCAATGTTTGCATTACGAGATTTTTACATAGCTTAGACATGCTTCACAAAACAGTGGCTTCATTTCCAAGGATGTGTCAAGTTCCTGAAATAGGCAGGAAAGTGATCTGCTAATCCCAGTTGTTGGTTTGATACTTTGGTTAGTTATGCTCGTGCTTTGCTAGACAGCCATTCCCTGCTTTTTTTTTCCCATCCAATTTGGCAGCTAATACTACATAAATGATACATTAGTGAAATATTATTTTATAATCAATCTTTTAGAAGCTTCAGCTTCTACCGTGGTTATGCTTTAAATAACAACAATTAGCACTTGAGTTTTTTGTTAATTTCTGAAGTCATCTAGCACTTAACATTGGTAAACCGACATCTTTGGTAGCTTGTATTGCCAGCCAATATTGATGTAGGCTAAACCCAAAATTTATCAAGTCTAACACCCCTAGGTAGGAAAGAATGTAGACACATATACACACAGCATATTGCACAGTAATTAATGTACTAATAGAGACATGCGTTGGCTTCCAGAGAGGATAAATCTCTACTGGGACGTGTGTGTATGGTGTGCAATGCTAATAAGACAGTTCTTACTCAGCAAAGTGACTCAATAGCTGGTATAAATATAGCCAGGTTTGGAGACTTTTGTGTGCCAGGAGAGACAGTATTATAAAAGTTGATGTGGTTTCAGAGACGGAAAAGTTCTTGGCAAAATTTACCCTTACAAGATGATGGTTTTAGGATTTCGCTGTTCCGCTGAAAAGCTGCCAGTAGCATCCGAGCCAGTACTTGGTCACAGCAGTTGGCAGAGATGTCAGTGCTATTGGCCATGTGTTGGGGATGAGAGGGCCAGATCTCACTTGGGGAAGCATCTGTGAGCAACTTCACGGCGAGGGCTCTCCGGCCTTGAGCTGCACCTTCGTGACTGAAGGCGAGTAGTGCTAGCAGGCAAAGGAAGTGATCGGCATGGGAGCCCTCCACTTAAA